ACATATTTTATCCGTTCTCACACAAGAGAAGAGTTCATTAGAACATCTTTCCTGACTGGAAATGCCAGTTAAGGAGACAGTTGTATACACGGTATTGTCGGCTTGTGTTTCGAGTTAAGACACTGCTGACAGGATGGTTTATGATGTCAGAAGACTTTTCACCTTGCACTAAGTATTTTTGTAAAGGTGTCCAATCATCTTTGACAATACCTGTCAACAGCAGTAGTGCAATAATATTACTGACGCTCTTAATGGTTTATTTTCCCCCAACAATTGCCAAGTAGCTCTCATCCTTATTAGCTGTCATACCAGTAGTTTATTGGACAGCCTGTTCGTTATTAACAGAGTTAGTTAACAATTTCTTGAAATGTTTGGTTAAAGTTTGACAACATTGAGCATTATATTAATGATGTTGCTTTAATTAGTACGTTTTGGAAGTTTTATTCAGAAAACCCACCTGACAGTAATCCTTCTGGTTAAATAAAATTAGTGTAAATGAAACAAAAGTTTGTGAAACAAGGTGGAACAGAAGCTAGGAGGAGCATCTTGAGAAAGAATAAATCCTCAACAACTAGAGATAAATCGTACAAGCTTCTCGCATGGATGCTCCAGCTCCAGAACTGCCTGTCTGTCCATCATCCAGAGGCATATACAGTCAAAGTATATTTTGCATAACTTTACTGGCTGGCATACACAGAGAATAAGATTATTTTGGCTATTAGTTATTCAGCTAACATGAATGGTTAAGGTCCTAAATTTGAAATTTGCCACTGTTTTAAACAGGGCAGAAAAGTTGTTCCACATGGAATTCCTCATTTCTCCATTTGTATTTTTAAATACAGTTTGTGTAAAAAAAAGTCAGTAACCATACTGAATACTAAAGTTAGGAGGTGTGTACAGTCTTAACTTATCTTAGTACCTGTATGTGTTAGCATTATATCTATTTATCATTTGTATTTCAGTGGTACCTAGAGGCCTTTATCTGTTATGTCATCATTTTTACATGAGCACTCGCTATTCATTCTCAAGATCACTGTTTTTTGTACATTGCACAAGATAGATTGTGATTGAGGCAGAATGCTACTGAAAGAAAAGAAATACATTCTTTCATGTCTAGTCATGGGACTGAGCTGGTTTTCCCTTTTTCTCTGCCACAGTCACAGTCCTGATGGTCAAGACTAATAATGCATGGACAGAAAGGTGGCATGATGCTCACCCTCTGGGAGATTAATACTGGAATTTTTAACGTTTGATTATTTGGTGTAGAGTCCTTAAAATCATTTTTATCAAATCTGCAGTTGTTTTTATCAAGCCTGAAATTGTTTATACAATTCATAGATCAGAAAATCTAACTGAGTTTTGAATTAAGAACTGTGAGTTCCTTACTTGCCTGGAATGGATGTGTTAAAAGAGGCTGGAGATGTCAGCAAAACAAAGCTATTTTAATGCACTCGATAGTAGACAATCTTATGCTTAATGTCTTTTGGAAGATGTGTATTACAAGAATAGTTCTGCTTTTTGCATGCATACAAATTTAACTTTACGTTATTCTTTAAAAGAGACTATTTATGCTTTATTTCAAAGAAGCAGGTGAGAAGTGGGGTTGAAAGGAAGGAAAAGAGGAGATACATCGTAAAGCCACCCTAGAGAGAACAAAAACTTAATAGTCAAATGGAAGTGTGTATTAGCACACTTGTATCTTGGTTAGCCCATTGAAGTCAGTGGAAATATTTTCCAATTTCTTGAGTACCATCTTGAGTCTGTGCTATCTGGGCAGTTGCTGTATTGGAAGAAGCAAAATGAGTGTCATGACTTTATATCCTGCTTTTTCTGAAATACATGCTCTCCTGTTAGTTATCCTGTTGGGCACCCTGCAGCCTTCACGGTTCTGGGGCCAAGTTTGCCAACTTCAGGAGACGTGTGTTTGCAGGGAGTGCAGGAACACACCCAAAGGCTGCATTCTGGTGACAGATTTTGTGGACAAGACTGAAATTTGAGCTGTTGTGTGTGGCAGTTCAGAGGCTTTGGGTGTTTTCCTTGTGTCTTTGATTTTTGCAACATCTTTGTTATGGCAGCACCAGAATCATCAGCCTGGCTTCCTGAAATGCTTATGCATCTGTCTGTCTCCTCTTTTGATTGCTTCTATTGACTGGTTTTAAATCCCATCAGCTGGTGGGAAGGCATCTGAACAAGGTAACATCATGTAAGAATCACGAGTATCCATAGGGGAGAAAACCCTTATAGATGCTCCAACCAAGTAAAAGCTTCAGCGTTCACAAGAAGATGATTCAATTCTGGAAGCAGTCACACTATTTTCATTCCACTGTTCATTTAACTACGGAACAGGATGATGGAGACAACTACTGGAATGTATGTTGTTTGGGAAGTTTTATTCTGCAATAGTATACATTCAGCAGTATGTTTCATGAAGTGACAGTCTTATTCCAGAAACCTCTAATAGAGCTTGTATTTGCAAAAATCTGTTTAAGATAAATGGCATATAATAAACTAAACTATCCTGTTAAGTCACAAAAAAGAGTCCCTCCCAGCAATTTTGAGTCATATTTAGCTATGATCACTTTTTGAGCCCATCTACAAAAGAAGCCTGCTTATTCCAAAGTATTTGTGACACTTCTGGAGCATGAAGGAGGAAAGCAAGTAGTTTTCCTTATTTTTTGGGGGTGTATCTAGTTATTATTTTTTATGTCTATGTCAGCATTTCACTGAGAGTGAGACTTGCACAAGCCAAAGAGGCAGTGGTGCGGAGGGAGAAGCCTTATTCATCAGAGTGCAGCAAGACAGAATGCTTCCACACTTCTGGCCTGAAGGAAGGATACTGCCTTACAAAAAGAAGCGCTTGCCCCACTTCCTTGTATTAAATTATTACCCACAGATCATTTTGTCTGGATAACTTTTGCAGCATTTATTTTCATCTCTGTCCCAGCCATTAGAAATCCGATTTGTCAAAGATATTTGTAAACTACAGTAACTTCTTGACTGGGTGATCAGCGCTAAAGACCTTGAAAAATTGGCAGAAGTTTTCACCCTGTGAAAATGTTAAGATCAATAAAGCAAATTGATAAATACCATTTCACAGAATATAGGCTCTCGGATGAAATGCTCTAACACATAGGAGTAACAGATCATTCCAGGTATGGAACATCATACTTTAGAAGCCATATAGTTAATGCTGTAAAAGGAAGGATTGTATGAAATGTGATTGATTCTTCTACCTTATGTCATAAAAAGTAGCTTCAGTTATGTGGGGTTCTTGAGTAACTAAAGTAAGAGGTTACCAGAAAAAGTCAACCCTTAAATTGCAGACAAAGAACTTCTATTACCAATAGTATTACATCATCAAAATATTTCACATACACTCAGAAATAAGCTGTACTTCTGTATGTCAGTGAAGCAGCAAATTGAATTCTCATAATATGTTTTGAAAATGAGTCTTGTTAGGTTTGATGAGGTGGAAAAGGTACTGAGATCACTGGTTTGTTCCAATACGTTCAGTACGCTTTTCTTGGATGTTTGCCATGGCTAATCTTTTTAATGGCAGTGTAGCTTGTAAACCCATTTGGTAGAAAGCTGTATGTCTCAGTTTCAGAGTATCACACCAAGTAGGGTGGTAAATAAGTTTCTTTTCAAGCATGCAAACCCTTTTGTTACAATAGCAGAAATGTTATTTTAACACACATACCATGAAAACCTCAGTATTTCCTTTATGAATTCAGTGATGAGCAGAACAAAATGCAAATGTCATTTTAAATACACCCACACATACATATGTAGATAATATGCACCAGCGTTATGTTTTTTGTTTGAAGACTTTTATCAAGGACAAACCTCAATTCATTCACGCCCAATATTCAAGAGATTGAACCTGTCACAAACCCTCTGGATTTCTCCAAAATCCCTCTCGGCTACTTACCCATGCCATTTTGGAAATGGTCTGGGAAGACAGTGGGCCTTACAGCATGATAAGCCATCATCAAATTCAAAGTTCTATCATATAAAACTAGTGAGAACATTTGGATAAAATGAGGAAAACCTTGGCCTCAGCCAAAGTTCTGACAGTTGATGCAGAGGTTGCCACTTCAGGTGCTTTAGAAGACTTCAGCCTGTGGGCTCACATGTTGAGTTAAATTATTTTAGGCTGTTCTGTAGGTTAAAGTAAACACTTTCTGTTGCCTTTTAAAGCTAAGTTAGAATACACTGGAGATCCTGTAGCACATTTATAATGACCCCATGGCATAACTACCATTTAATCAGCTTCTATTTCAGATGTCTTTATAAAATAATCTACTTTTTGTTAACACCATTTCATATAAAGGTACAGAACCTTATGTAGTCAGCATCATTTTCCTTAAACCACATTCCTAATTCCTTAGTTCTGAAGAAATCCCCTGAAAAGCTTGCTTTCTTGTCTTATCTTCCTTTCTGTCAGCCTTAGAGAATCTGTACAGGTGGGGTTTGTGTACAGCTGCAGAGATCCCAGTGCTCTGAACTCCATTTTCTGTTAAATTATTCCTAGATAGCTCTTCTTGAGAGAATCATGCAAAGAAATCCCGTGAGATGAACCTTTTTTTCCCTAAGTTTCCTTTTTCATCTTCTGCCTATTCATTTTCCATAGTCATAGCCAACAGCCTACTCTGTACTTGAGTTGTTGTTGAACTGATTTTCATGCTTTCACGTAGATCAATAGTCAGCTGTCTTTAAACACTCTCACGTGCAAAAATGCAACGTAGGAGGTGAGAGTTTTGAAACTGTATGTGTCTTAACATGTTGGCCTAAAGTAGGATTGTAGGTATGAGAAGAGAAATAGAGAAAGAGCACGTGAGAAAGAAAGGGGGAGGAGAAAAGAAAGATAAATATGAGAGGTGTCTAAAAGAGCTGCTTTTTGCCAGTTAAATTTTTTAATTAGTGTGGTCATTTGAGCCAGAGGTTTCAGGCTGCTTTGCAAAAAGTTGCCGATGGTTGTAATTGTGATTTGTTTGCAGTTATCCATACAGCGAGGACTCTAGCCAGGGAAAGCAGTACATGAATACGAGATGTCCAGCCTGGTGCGACAGAATCCTCATGTCCCACTCAGCCAAGGAGCTCATTCTGAAAGTAAGTACGGACCTGCAGCCACCCCGCTGCCTCCGAGTTGTGTTTATCTTCAGCAAAGGTAGGTAGGGCTGATAGACTTCTGCTTGTCCTTGAATTTTCAGTTGCCTGTAGCAAACGCTCACCAAGCCGGAGACAGCATACCATGGCAATAATGAACTGTTATGCCTCCAGTGCTTTCCACCCGAGAATGTGGATTTGTCCCAGTTAACCCATTGGCAGTTACCAAAGCACGAGCTTTCACAAATGCTTCTTTTGGTATCTGAGCTGCCAACACTGGCTGCCTGTCATCTGTCCTGTGCTGCTTCTGTACTTGTCAGTGCTATAGTGGGATGTTTGTGAACCAGACTGGGAAACTGTGCCTGCTTTAAAAAAGAGTAGCAAAAAATAAAAAACCTCCATCAGTCCCCAGTCCAGTCCACTGTACAGTAACATAAGTAACAGTACTGCCCTTACTGAGGATTCAGCACAGATGCGGACAAAAGTAACTAGGAGTGGCCACTGACTGAGGAGTAATGCTATTGAAAGAAAAACCTGTATAGCAACAGCTTGAGGTACCGGAGTTACAAGCGTGGTAGATTTAGGTTCCCTCTGTTGCTGATGGTGAGAACTGGATTTCCCAAGAATACGTCAGATCCTAGATGGGCTAAATCTCCTGTCCCCTGAATGAAGACAGAGTCTCCAGCAGGTAGGCTCCTAACTTTGGTACACCAATTAAGTGCCTAAATTTAGACATTCCATTAGAGCTTTAAAAATACGATTGTGCAACATTTTTAGAACATATAGTTCCTCTTGGGATTTTAGTGTGTAGAGGTAGGTAAAGTTGGTGATGCTCTATCCAAGGTTAAATGACCTAAATATAGTTCAGGAGCCTTCCAATTTTCCTTTTCTCTCGTTTTCTCTCTCTCCTCCTTGCTCCGCTCTGCTCTCCTCCTTTGCTTGGAAACACTGAACCAGGTCAGCCGGTTACGTATGCCAACTTACACTGCCTCTGTTTTTCCTGTGTGCTTGTTCATGGCAACTGGAGACCTGTCCTGTTTACACTGGCTATCAGTTGTTCTAAAGGACCAAGAACACATCAGGAAATCAGTGTATAGTGTAAGGAGATCTCACCCATGCCTTTCTGCTCTGAGCTAAATTTTCCCTGCTGTGCTAGCCATGGCCATGAGTGCGATGCAAGAATGAACGTGCTGTGACTTTTCAGCACTGTTGCATTGAGGTTATCTTGCTGACCAGACTGTATGACTGTCTCATACCTAACAGAGTTACCAAACCCAAAATTGCCCAGAGTCATGTGTCTGTCTGTATGTTCCTGTATAACTAATACAGTTTAATGGGAGTGAATTGCAGAAAATAATCTTTGCGAATAAATCCATATTCTACAGCTTCATGGCTTTTTTTTTCTGTTTAAATTAATGAAACCCTTGAAATTTGCTTTCCTGAAGTTTATAACCTTCTGTTTCTCTCTCATCAGGGTTATTTATCTCATGATTAGGCTGTTTGCTTTGCAGTATATAACTCACTGAACGGCTGAGAACATTTTTTCCGTAGCTACTCAAATTTCAATTTGATGTACTTCCTCACACATTTTGATGTGTAAGATGTGTCTGCATGATACCTTGAAGTTTTGCCCAAAATTTTAGACAATGCATGTACTGCAGTATTTAATAAAAAAAATTGTGAAGCTAAGAGGAATACCGGCTTTATAGTAAAATAGTAATGTCAAAACCAATGTTATTTGATCTTCTTATACAGAAATATCGTATGAAAAAGTGAGACTTTACCCAAAATACTACAGATAGTACTTGGCGCCCATGAAATTCCTAAAAGTGGCCAATGAGGGAAGATGGTTTTTTTAAGCTATGAATAAGGAGATAGAAGTGTACACAAAGGCTTGAGGAGTGTAAACAGTACAGAGGGAAAGGAATTCTTTCAGATTATCTAGGGGGGTATAACTTGGATATAATGGGAGAAAATTAAACAAAGGAAAACAAAGTTAGAGCGTTAAAGAAATTTGTAACTGTGAGGGCAGGCCAATGAGGGAAGATGGTTTTTTTAAGCTATGAATAAGGAGATAGAAGTGTACACAAAGGCTTGAGGAGTGTAAACAGTACAGAGGGAAAGGAATTCTTTCAGATTATCTAGGGGGGTATAACTTGGATATAATGGGAGAAAATTAAACAAAGGAAAACAAAGTTAGAGCGTTAAAGAAATTTGTAACTGTGAGGGCACTTGGCCCAATTCTTAGTCTCCATGGAACAGAAACCCAGTCAGTTGCATCATTCAAAGCTTACATTTAAAAAATGCGTATAATTTTGTCTCTGCAGCTTTGTATTTGCAAATTATGAGCATGCAGTCTGCAACATCTCCAGAAATGCATATGCAAAATTACAGATGCAGATGAGGCCAAACTGGCACAGTTGTTTAACTCAGTGAGTCTATACCAATAAAGGACTTAGCTTATCCAACTCAAAACCAAACTGTAATTCTGGCCCATAAAACTTAATGAAAATACTCAGTAGAAAAGAATGCTGAACTGATAAAGGAAAGGGCAAAATGACCTTACAAGTTTTTGTGGTTCTACACAGTAAGCAGTGTTTGTCTAGCCATTGAGAATTTATTCCATTGCAGAGACTTACGCTTTGCAACTTTAAAAGGAACTGTGAAGAAAGTAAAAGCAAATTTTAATTAACTGATTACACTGTAGCAAATCCTTAAAATATAAATGTATATAAATTTTTAAAGACTTTTTGCTTGTAACTAGCTATTGAAAATTCTTATGCAGGTAATTATTTTGCTGCATTAATTTTTCTTATAGGCAAATAAACAATTTATTTTTCTGTCTTAGCAAGTCTATACTTTATTTCAAACAAAAAATATAGTAAATCTGCATTTTAATCCTATGTAAAGAAAGAATAGTATGCACAAATTACCACACTGTACAGTGTGTTCAGCTACACAGTAGGCATTACAGATTGTACAGACATGGGGCTGTAAACAGCTTTCATGCAACATCATCTATCATGCTATGGTCGGTTACCTCACCATCATGTTATTTTATGCTTCCTGAGCCCTAAAACACCAAAGGTTGCCCACTGCTAGGGAGCTGCGTTGATGCCTGATAGCATGAAGTAATGAATGCTCAGCCAAGTGTATATTGTTTCTGCTTGTGCACCGTTGTAATTTGTTTATCTGTCTAAAGATTATGCAGTTGAAAATCCACAATTTTATGCTGCCTTTGTAAATTATCAAGTCGCTTTTGATGAATGTATCCCCACTTCCGATGCTAGTGGCATTATGATCTTGAAATATTGGAAAGTGCTCATGCATACAATGCAGAAGGTTATGTTTTTATATTTTTGGCAGACAACCGTGCTATAAAGTAAATCTGACCTTAAGCTTCCTTACTGCATTAAAGATAATTCAGTTTTAACTTTATAGTCCTAAATGCTACTGTTTATATAAAGTTACTGCCCAGTCAAACTTGACTGATTACAGATGAGAAAGTCTTGACTGTTTCATACAAAATAAATTAGTATTGCCAACTAGTTTAAACCACATCTGTGATTGTATTCGAGACTTGAGAGTGTGCAGATTGCAGATTTAATTAGCTTATAGGAATTGTTCAGCATAATAAGAAATTGTCTTGTATGGCAACGTATTTGTATTTATTCCTGAAGTACTGTGCTAGAGAATCAAAACAGATTCTCAAAATCACATTTATTGCAAATGACAGAAAGATGAGTACATTTTATTATTCATTAAGCTACAAATGCTCAAGAAGTCAGTGTATAAGGATAAAGTTCAACATGGAACAAAATGAAAGCAATTCATAATGGAGACTGGAGGAATGTCATCTTTCATTTGCTGCTGATTTTCTTAAAATCACTTCATGCTTTTTCCCAGATGAAGAAATATATGTCATAGAAATGGTTAAAGATTATACTCATAAACTGTAAATAATTAATTCATCTCTCTGAACATTTAAAATCACCTATGTGATGAAATCAAATGCTCTTATAAGGCAATGTGGATTGCATTTAATTCGAAGAACTACATACGTCCCACCTAATTCAATAAAAATTGTGTGTTGTTCTTAAAAAAAGGACTAGCCAAATGTGTTAGCTGCATTTCACTGGCAAAGCTGGAATGCAATCATAACTGAGTCATTCATTTCATCTATCCAAGTGTTACTCACTAAAATTTCTTGAGGTCCCAGAAGCAAGGAGTAGATGCAGCGACTTCATGAGTTATTTTACGTGGACAAATTGCACAAATTACTGCAAGCAGTACTGGACATAAAAATTCATTCTACATGGTCTTTCTCTGGAGAAGCCAAGCAAAGATGTGTTAGTATCACTTCATTCAGAAACTGGTTTGAACTATTTGCATAAATTATTTCCGTATTTCTTTCTGTTTCTGTAATCTGGAGGATACTTGAACTGACTAGTGTTTTGTTGTGTTTTTTTAACTAGTCAGAAAACGATGAGAAGATAGTAATATATGACCACATTGGGCCAAATGTCTGCATGGGGGATCACAAGGTAATTAACTTAAACATTTTAGTATTGTATCTTCTAAGTCTTTTTTATTAGGAAGGAGAATGTATGCACTAGTTTCTCTTAATTTTATATTTAAGTCAACTATCTCTCTGTCCTATTTTTAATTTAAAGCCTCGAAAATGTTTTAAAGTTGAAGTCAACTTAAATCAGCCAGTATATTAGAGTAGATACTTGTATGAACTCAAATAAAGTACAGGATGATGTGCACTAGAATGAAAGCATAATACAATACAAAATGAAGAGGAGCAACTGTCTGTGCACACGACTATTCTTGTAAAACAAAAATATTTTCATCGGGTTATCAAAATTGCTTCCAAAACATAGTTTCAATTAATTTGGTGCCTAGCTGCTTATTAGTAAAATAACATTGGCAGTTCCATATTTAAGCAACAAGTGAGAAAAAGGATATAGAATTACATAAATACCAGTTGTTAAAGTGAAGAAAAAGACATGAATTTTATAAACAATCTCCTCTGCTGAAGGTACCAGATGGAAAGCTAAGTTAGAAATACAGCAAATTGGAGTATTTGCTTTCTTTGAAAAAAACCTGATTGAGGAGTAGGAGGTAACGTCTGAAAGCCTATATAAAAACTGTATAAAACCTATATAAAAATTCAACTAGAAACTTGCAAAACCTTGTAAACTGTACGACAATGGTAATGTTATCAGTCCTAGAGAGAGTGTTAAGGCTCTTGAATGATATTTCAGTGATGAATAATGGGTAATTACATGTGTGCATGCACGTGTACACGTAAATCCACATTCACAAATATATCACTATATTTACTTTCATGGTCAGAGTTCTTGTGAGAAAGAGTATTGTTTTTCTAAGGAAGAATGCACTTAAGATATTTGGTCCAGAATCATCCAAGTCAGATTTTAAAATACAGAAGTTTACTAACTTCTCCAGTAAAATGAAAAGTTCAGTGTGTCAGCAGCTGAAGGACAGCCAGTTCGGAAATAGTAATTTTTGTTTCCTTTGTCACCACTGTAATTAACATGGATTTTTTTAACATGGCACTTTCAGTGGAGCTAATTCTGTGATAAAAGGGAGTTGTGCATGGGACCCAAACCTCTTCCCAGAGAAATCAGTGGCAAATTTTCCCTTAGATTTCCATGGGAGCAGAGACCCGTAAGGAGCTGATGTAGTTCTCTTGTGCATTTTGTAGTTAGATTAATCCAAGAAATTGTTGCATCATTTTGTTTCCAGTCATAGAGGATTTTTTATTGTGTTTACTACTAACTGTAAAAAAAATGTTTATATTTCAAATGTGTAACTTCTATTTTTCCCTAACTTGCTGCAGCCTGTGTTCCTGTCCTTTCGAATAGCTGCTGGGGCAGGTAAACCTATTGCAAATGTGCACAAGTGTTGTGTCGTGCAGTGATGTGGTGGTAAATATCATTTTTTTCCTTTACGTTTATATTTTCTACATCATTTCCCCTGTGTTTATTTTTCTTTTTAAAAAAATGCCAATTCTGCAACAGGAAAAAGATGCCTACGAAATGAGAAGATTTTCCGTGAAACCACACTGTAGCAAGGAGGGGAAGGAATACGCAGTATACTGAAATACATATTCGTAACAACTGTATTAATAAATCAAGTCCCGAGTGCCACATTTTTAGACTGCTGATCGTACACTATGCTTCAGCATCTGGACTCTGTTCGAGAAAAGCCTCACATACCTCACTGTCTTGTATGTTCATGTGACATCAAGTAGAAATGTGGAATTATTTTTTATATATATGTCACAATTCTGTTGCCAAAACTCTAAATAGACAGCAGAGATGTTATGTATTTTAGATTTCACAACTTTCAACTTTTAATAAGTGTTTGTCAATGTGGAAAAGCTATTTCAGCATATTATAAACTTTTAAAGGTGTCATACCTAACATTATATATCTTTACCACTTTGGGGTTTTGTACATTGGATTGTATAGATAGAGATATTGATGGTTTTAAATGGTATTTTCTTTGTTGACCAAGGCTTATGGTTTGTGTTTTAGTTTTAGTATTATGTTTTTCATTTTTATAATTTTTTCTCATGTTATTTACTATACTGCCATGTTACATGGTTTTTGAATCACACAGCAGCTGCTTTCTATACATACATATATATGTGTGTGTATATATATGTATGTATGTGTATATATACACAGATATATAAATAATTTATAAACCTGACCAAAACTTACGCTAAATATACTTTCCAATATGAATGCTTGAGAGTGCCATATCAGCAGTTAGTGTTGGAGTCTTAGCAGGTTTAGTTAAGTGTACATCAACAACCAACATTTATATACTAAATAATATATAGCAGTGCCATCCTGGATACAGATATATAGCATACTATATAGCACATATATTAGCAGTTTCACTTTGTTACTCCTATAATCCCTTCTTTCTATGTAATATTAAGGATTGAATGTGAAGTTCTTAGCTAGGTTTGGGTGTAACTTTCCAGAATTTTGTAAACTGTTTTTGTCCGTCTTTTGTTACTGTTTTATGGTGCCAAGTATTCTATATTGAAACAATAACAACATGGGAGAAGAAAATAATAGTCTGCTTCAGGTAGCAACTGTATTGGACACAGACTGTATTTATACAGTGTTAAAAAAAAAAAAGACTGTAAATTTTCCTGGTTAGTAGCTCAGTGCAGCCTACAATATAATCTTGTTACAAACATTTTTCTCCCACCACTAAATACAACATTAAAAGGTGATTAGGGAGTCTGTTGATGAAACACAAATGTATGTTTTATTGATTTAATTTAGAACACTACAGAGTTCATGGACTGCGTGATGGCATTAGATTGATGCTTGATTTTGGTATAAATCACTACCATTGAAAATGATTTGATGTCCGCTTGCAGAATGTTTTCTCAACAGTACAGTCTGGGTTTATATTAAGTACTGTTGCCCAAAGGGTGTCTGCGCTCTGTATTGTTATTGTGCCATGTTGCATTATAACCACACAGTAATTCTATTTAAGCGAACTCAACTCATGGTAACTTTGAAGGCCTTTAGAAATGAGTACTCTGGTTCTCAAGCAATAAAACTGATCATGGTGAATATGGCTGTCTGTCCCTTTAATTTGGGCATTGGGGATTACAGGGAAATTATTAAATTGTCACATTTATTATTAATGAGGTACCTTTTAATCTCCTGCCAATTAACAGGGTTATTTTTCACAAGAAAACCTGTATAATAGAATGCACTTCTAGTGTTAATCAAAACACAATACAAACCGAGGAAAAGGCATTTCGGAGTTTAAGTGTTAGAGGGCTAATGTACAGAGAGTAATACAACTTTACGAGCTATTCATGAGATGCCAGTCCCCAGCAGTTCAATAAATATGCCACCATAAACTCCTTCGTGATTATCTCTGGTGTTAGGAAAAAACACTGCCTTTTCAAACTCGGAGTGAAGCCTCATTTATAGATAAACTCACCAGAGCTATAAACTGCAAGGCCATAAAGCGCCCTAATCCATCTAGAGGCGTGAGTTACGCAGGTGACCTGTCAAGGTAATTCGTGAAACCCACAGAAATTGATAAACGCAGCTTTAGCATTTAAACAAAACCCGGAGGCGCTGGCTCGGGGGGCTGCGGGGCTGCTCCCGCCTGCGGAGCGCCGGGA